AATCAACTCAATATTAGTGGTTCAACCCTAGTCTTGTACTATTCATATTCCATGATATTTTAGTGTTTAATGTACCAACAATATCTTATAAGAATATTGAGTGTTTATTTGGTTCCAATTTCGAACACGAATATGGTAGTCATTTTTCTTTTCAATATAAGAGATATAAATTTGCTAGAGTAATTAACTAATAAAGTGAAATTAGTGAAATAACTTTTTTTAATTTTTGTGAATAATGACTATCTTGTCATTCTTTATAAAACGTATTTGTTATTGGTCGTTTTGTAAGTAAAAATTTTTAAAAAGTTATTTTACTAATAAAACCTTTCTATTAAATCACAGTAATTTCAGCAAATATGTCAATTTATTCTAACAAAATCTTATAAGAACGATGTCTTTTTTGTTTTTGTTTTTTTTTTTAATGTTCTTTAGGCCAACCAATGTATAAACTACTAATAGGTTAAATACATAAAAGAAGTTGCACATTAAAATTCATAATATTAAGAAACTCTTTACTTGAAAATATCCATTTCCTCAATTCAACCACATTCATTGTACACGTGTATATACTCATTAACTTTTGCATAATGTACATTAATTTTTCGAATTATGTGTATGTGCATACAATACATTGTAACTTGTTACGCAAGTACAACATAATTTTTTAGGTTTTATGTATGCACATATTAATTTTGAACACATTCACAATTTTCACCATGCAAAAATTTAAAGAGATGGTTTTCCAAAGAAGCAAGAAAATATATATTTTTGTTAATAATTTTTTTTTTAATATAAGGTGGGATCAAACCCACAACCTCTACAAACCCCACCTAAAGGTCCTAACCTCCATGACAAATAGACCAAACATCCTTTATGGTACAAGGTTTTCTAAATTATTGATTAAATTATGGTTTTTTTATGCAAATTAATCGAAAGTCATTTGACCATTTCAAAATCTTCATCTAGTACTTTCCTTTTTCGGTCTTTAATTACCACTAGAAGTTAGGATGGCGGTGGAATTTAGTGTTTGTTCATTGTGAAGTCGATAAGGTTGTGTTGTGTAAGCAAATCAGAACAATGTCTTCGTCGATGAAAATAATACCATATCTGTGCCGACTAAATTAATATGATATCTCTGTTGATTTATCGACCCCATCAGTTTTGAAATTTTTACATTTTTTTAGTAGGTTTTAATAATCGATCTCTAGACGTACGGGATCATTCAGCTCATTATCTTTAGAAAATCATGCACAACGCAATTATGCAAAGTTTTCCCTAAAATCAAGAAACTAAATAAGTTTTTCCTAATAAAATAGGCTTCTTTCTCCTTTCCAAAAGTAGTTTCTAGTAGTCAAATTAATATTATTACCGAAGTCTCAATTTTTCTTTTATGAAGGAGATTTATATATATATTGAAAAAAAAAACTAACGTTAGTTTTTTTTTATTTTTTAATTGTTGAATTTGTACCATAACTTGTCAGTTCAGTGTACTTTTATTTTGATTTTTTTTTTATCAATTCCCAATGAGTGAGTATTTTATTTACAAATTAAGTATTTTTGAGCTTGAGTATTTGTAAATTTTCAAGCATTTTTATTAGTTTAATGTGTTTTATTTTGTTTTTGTAGATTGAAATTAAAATGGAATAAAATGAGCGAAAATTTGACATCAGAGCATACTTCAATATTTGGGACATAACTCTCTCTCATCCGAAGTTCAAATGAGGTGATCTTGGTGGCATTGGAAAGATAAAAGATAGAGCTACAACTTTCTTGAAGACACTAAATACTAATTCGGCCATATAGAAGGGTGAAAATCCTCATCAAAGTCACATACCCACTGCAGCGAAAAATCCATATGCTGCAATGGATTTCCTGCCAAAGAGTAGGAAAACCACACACTTGCTGCAGCGGGATATCCATCCGCTGCAGTCGTTACGCCAGTTTTGCTAGGATTTTTTCAAAAACCTGACGGCTTGTTCATTTATATTTTTTGAGTTTGGGTGACTTGAATTCAGATCTTGAGTTGAATTAATGTGTATTTCAGTATGGTTTGAGTTGGGACTCTAATTTGAGTTTGTGTTTGGATGTGGACATTTTGAGTTATGGTTTGAATTGATAATCTATTTGAGTTTGTGTTTGGATGGATCAAAACTTGAATTTATATTTGGATAGTATTTTAATAAAAAATCAACGGTAATGGAAAATTTTAATAGGGTATATGGGTGAGGTTTTATTCGCCTTTTCGTTATGAACGCATAAAAAATCATCTCAATCGAAATTAAAATAAAAAAGTTATGGCGTTTTTAAGAATAGAAAAAATATTGTTCATTAACTTGAGTTTGAGTTTAAGAACTTGAGTTGAATAGGGAACTTGAACTCAGATTTTAACCCCAAACTCAAGTTAAAACTTAAGTTCAAACTCAAATTTTACAAAAGAACATGAACTTAAATAAAGTTATAACTTGAGTTCAAACTTTTTTTTGAGTTTAGGTGTAAATGAACAAGTCTAGGAACTGTTGCAACGCCCAAACACGAAATGATGTCAATTTGAGCTGATTTGGAGAGATATAAAAAGAGAGGAGACTCATTTTCCCAAAATTGGAGAGGAAGAAAGGAAAAAGAGACACAAAATCCTTAAAGAACAAGGAACTTTGGAAGCTCAAATCCCATGATTTCATTGAAGATCCTTGAAGAAGATTGTGGATTAAAGCTTAAAAGATCATTCTTCCAACATAGTTTTTCCTTCTCCCTTTATTTCCTTTTTAGTTTTTAGATTTTGTTTTTGGTTATGGATTTCTCTATGTTGAGCTAGATTATTATTTTATGACTTGATGTAACCTTGTTTGAACTATGTTTTGAATATTTTGGCAATTGTTAGTTTGATTTCCATTTAATTCATTTGTGCTTCTCTATGTCATTTGCTCTAATTTGCGTTTTCATAGATTAGAGATATAGATGTATGGATTTAGGGTCGAGAGAGTTACTTTCACATGTTAGAATTAAGAAAACACAACCTAAAGTTAGTTGAATTAGGGAAGCCAATTAATTTGGGTAGTCAAAATTTGGTGGCTTTATAGATGTTTGATTCAGTTAGGCTAATAGGGATATTGTTTAACTGGATTTTGCATACTATTTTACTCGGCACTCGAGAGAGGGAGTGAAATTACCTTCAAAAACCTAAGATTAATGAGTTGAGTAGAATTGGCTAGCAATAGCTAAATAGGATGAATATAAGAATGATATAGTAAAGTCCCCAGTACATTTATGCATATGTGTTTTCATATTTATATTTGTTCTTGTTCTATTTTAATTTCAATTAGTTTGGATTCCTAAATAAGATTGAGTTACGATAATCACGGTACTTAATAATAATTTAATACATAATCTCTGTGGAGATAATACTCACTCATTTTTTATTATTAAAACTTGACATAGTACATTTACGAACGAACATATTCAATAATAAAAAATAAGTATCATAACTTATCCGTTCAGCGTATTTTTATTTTGATTTATTTTTTTTATCATATTCGATGATAAAAAACAAATACCACCGAAGAAAAATCCTATAAGAACTCTTTTATGAAAGAAAATAGCACACATGAAACTTTTTTGTTTTCTTTTTTCCTGTGGAGTATCTCAAAGTTTTAATTAGATATGAGTGATGATATCGGTTCCTGTTCCTAGTTCTTACAATGGGTATTAATATGACTTAAAATCACCATCAATTAGATTCTCCGTCAAAGTTTGACAAGTGAGTTAAATATGCAACAAATTAATGACTTAATTAACTTCTTCATGGAGGAACTTTCAACCTCGACTTCAAATTCACTTTCCTCTCTCTCTTAAAAAAAAAATTTACTATTTTAAAATTTTTTTTTTTTTGCCACAATTTTGGATATTTTTGGAATGGAAAGAGAGAATTAATCATGCACGAATGTATAATAAATGGGGATTTTAAAACAAAGGCAGGTTCAAAAATGCCATTATATGCATTGACCTTAATTAAATTGGGAGGTTTCCCAAGTCAAGCACTGAGTTTTTGATAGTGGGAACCAGTCAAGCCTAAAACGGTCCAATCACCCGACAAATACACCAATCCCAGCCAGTAAACGTTCTTATGTGTGAAACAGCAGCATATAAATTAAAATTATGAGATTAAAATTATTTTTAATTTATATATATTTTTTATAAAAAAAAATACTGTAATAAATTATAAATCATAATTTAAATCAAAGAACGAATCCTCTAACTAAATTGGCAGAGACAGTTCTTAAAAATCGTCAAAATTTTACGGTACATATGCAGATTTCTGCCCAAAAGAGTCTAAACGCTAAAAAAAGCAATTTTGTATTTTATCTCGATGTAAAGAAATAATACTAACAAAGGAAATATTTTTGGATTATCATATCTTCGTCATTTTGTCCAATATATAAGTATATTTTCCCTAAGTGTTTAATATCTAAAACCTCCTTTAAAAGATTGTAACAAAAATTTTACAATTACATCATTTACTACCTTAATACCGAAAAAAAAAAAAAAACAACGGTTATCACCGCAATTAATAAGCAGGATTTACAAGTTTATATTTAACGGTGTATCACCGCAATAAGGAGGATTTATATTGAAAATGAATAGCAGTGCTTTAAAAACTATTACGCGTGTCTGCGCGTGTGCGTGGTGTGGGACCTCCCCAATTCTCACACCTGCAGTGCAGGCCACAAACAGTGACAAAGAGTCGGTCATAAAAAAATGCTTATACACTTCTAGAAAAGGATTTTAGTTGAAAATTTGTATAGATGGAAAAATAATAGCATTTAATTTTTTTATTATAATAAATAATTTTTATATAAATTATATTTTAATTTAAATTAAAATTTTAATTCAACTAAACTGGCCCTTACATTTACAAGAAAGCCGTCCCAAACCCAAAGCCTCCAAATTCCCAACTCGTCTGCCTTTAAATTCCCCTCCTTTCTCAACTCCAAACCTCTCTCTCTCTCTCTCTCTCTCTCTCTCTCCCTCTCCCTCTCTCTCTCTCTAAACTACAAAGCCATGTGCCACTCACCATCTTCCCCAAGAAACAACAACCACAACCCCACCAACATGCTCACCACCCCTTTGATCCCCAATACCCCAACACCACCACTTGACCAAAACCAAAACCAAAACCAAAAACCCAACAAAACCCAAACCCAAACCAATAATGTGTCCCTTGTCCTAAAAGAGGCCAAATGCATAGCCAAAGTGTCCCTCCCCATGGTCCTAACCGGCCTCTTGCTCTACTCCCGCTCCCTAATCTCCATGCTCTTCCTCGGCCGCCTCGGCGAGCTCCCCCTCGCCGGCGGCTCCCTCGCCATCGCCTTCGCCAACATCACCGGCTACTCCCTCCTCTCCGGCCTCGCCATCGGCATGGAGCCCATCTGTGGCCAGGCCTTTGGCGCCAAAAGGTTCAAACTCCTCTCCCTCGCCATGCAAAGGACAATCCTCCTCCTCCTCCTCACCTCAATCCCCATCTCCATTCTCTGGCTCAACATGAAGAAAATCCTCCTCTTTTGCGGCCAACAAGAAAACATCGCCGCAAATGCTCAATCCTACATTCTCTTCTCCATCCCCGATCTCATTGCTCAGTCTCTTCTTCACCCTCTCAGAATCTATCTCAGAACTCAATCCGTAACCCTTCCTCTCACTTTCTGCGCCGCTTTCGCCATTCTCCTCCACATTCCCATCAATTTTCTCCTCGTTTCTTTCCTTGATCTTGGGATCAAAGGCGTGGCTCTAAGTGGCGTCTGGACAAATGCCAACTTTGTGGGGTCCTTGATAGTCTACGTTGTCGTCTCTGGCGTGTACAAGAAAACATGGTGTGGGGTTTCCTCAGAGTGTTTTAAGGAATGGAAATCTCTATTGAATCTAGCCATACCAAGTTGCGTTTCGGTTTGTCTCGAGTGGTGGTGGTATGAGATCATGATTTTGCTATGCGGGCTGTTGCTTAATCCGCAAGCAACCGTTGCTTCGATGGGGATTCTGATCCAAACCACCGCTCTGATGTACATTTTCCCGTCCTCGCTGAGTTTCGGCGTGTCGACGCGAGTTGGGAACGAGCTCGGGGCCAACAACCCCTGGAGGGCGAGACTCGCGGCGAAAGTAGGACTTTTGTGCAGCTTTGTGTTGGGATTCTCCGCGCTGTTTTTCGCGGTCGTGGTGAGGAAGGTTTGGGCTAGCATGTTCACAAAAGATGGGGAAATAATCGCCTTGACGTCGATGGTGTTGCCGATCATCGGGCTTTGCGAGCTCGGGAACTGCCCGCAGACGACGGGGTGCGGGGTCTTGCGGGGCACGGCGAGGCCTTGTCTTGGGGCCAACATAAACTTGGGGTGCTTTTACCTTGTGGGAATGCCGGTGGCTATTTGGTTGAGCTTTTATGCAGGATTTGATTTCAAGGGACTTTGGCTTGGTCTTTTGGCTGCTCAAGGCTCATGTGTTTTGACCATGTTGTTTTGTTTGGGTCGGACCAATTGGGAAGTTGAAGCACAAAGAGCCAAAGAGCTAACGGGAAATTACAATTATCTCACTAATGAAGGTGATTATGATAATGATGATGACGAAGAGAATCAAGGTATAGAAAAGTTAAAAGATGAAACAAAGGATTCTTTGATAAGTTGTTTATTAGAACAACATTTTTCTAGTATTACAGAGTGTTATGAACAAGATAACTCATTGGTGTGACACTTTTTCTGGATTTGGACCTGCATTTGACCAAATGTTAAAAATGGTGGGTCTAATTAGCATTTTATTTATTAGTTATTCTTATTACTATGCCATTTTTTTTAAAACTCAAAATTTTTATGTATAGCTAGGGACAGGAATATATATATGCTTATACTGAGAGCATTTTGTTTCATTCATTGTTTTAGCTCGTCGAAAATTGTAAACCAAAAAAAAGGAAAAAAAAAAAAATCAAAGCAGGAAACAATTTCCTTTCATTAATTTTTAGTATTGTCTTGTAGGCAAAGGGGAGAACTTAATTGTTGTCAGTTTTGCTTCAAATATATATGACACCATTTTGTGGAATTATTGAACACTTTTCTCTTTGTTTAATATTAGACAGTATTAAAAAGAAACAAGAACATGCCGCTTTTCTCGCCATGGAAATTTCTAAATTTCTTGCATTTCTTTCCATGTAATACAAAAATCTTCCAAAACTACAAACGGGGTTTGATAGCTTTATAGTCTTTATACAACAAAATATCATCTTGCTTGTCATATATGTGTATATATATATATATATACACACATATCATGTATATATACATCTCTCTCTCTCTCTCTAGAAAATGTCTACAGTAACTACCGTATGGGAAACTAAACAATGAATACCTGAATTTGGCGCTATATGTACAGTAAGATCATCAACAAACTAACATACAGCAAACACATATAAGATATGGGCTTTGCTCATCCAATCCAACTTCTACCTCAACTTGCAAATATTTTCATTAATTCAATCACTCCCTACCAGATAACTATATCCCATTTTTTCTTCCCCCTTCCCCCCCCCCCCCCCCCCCCCTTTTTTTTTTTTTGGGTCTTTCCTGTTCCATTTATTTATGAGCAATTCACATAGTCATCCACGTGGCAATTCTTAGAAACACCTATCTTTCTAAGAATAAAATACTATCAAGAAACTCGTTTATATAATTAAAATTAACAAAAACTAAGCTAGACTTGTGCTGATCTTGATGGCTGACCTTATTTCTATAAAACAAAATGAAAAGTAAGAATCTACATTAATTATAATATAACGTTGACTAATAATTAGCTAGACCGGTGTATACAATACATTCAAAATATTAAAACTGCTACTTAGTTATTGGATACGTTACAAATAAATTAATTAAGAAATTACAAAGGGTTACAAAGAAGAAGAAGGAAAAAAAAAAAAAAAACCTTATTGTAGCGGGTACTAAATTACGCCGCCAAGGAAATTGTTTAAAGTTTAAACCTTATCTGAATTCACAAATTATAAGGTACTGGTTTTGGCCGGCTAAGGTACATTCTGCTTTTTTCTCGTTTTGCAGTCCAATATTAGTTTTTAATTAATCGTGATTATTTTAATCCTTTCTGTTATAATAAGTTAATAATGATTTTATTCTTAGAACAAACCTTGATCTCTAATTTCTCTTTCTTTATACTAAGTTTCGGATCAACGTGAATTGTATGGGATGGCCGAAAGCTTAAATAAAATAAGGAATTTGGCTCAATAAATGAGCGTAGTCGGGTAGTGGCATGCATCACTGCTGAAGAGGAGACAGCTGCGCTATATATTTTGTTTATTATGGTAGAGCTTGCTTGTATTGTGTGTGTATGTATGTATATATAAATATATATATATATATATAAATGTATAATTAACAAATATTAATGTCCACTTTTCTTTCTAATTAATTATTTTGTCAGCTTGTTTTAAATTAGAGCTTAGATAACAAAACAAATTATAATTTAGATGATCATTTACCTTGAATTGGTAAAGATATTGTTTAAGCCCTTGTTTCATTAGCTGTGCTCTCTCTTAGGTGCTATTTTTGTTTGCATTATTTACCCCCTACTACCTAGAAGTCATCAAAACTTTAAATTAAGCTAGCTATAGTAAATAAATTTAATAGGGAGATATATATATCCTTGTACATGTGCTTAAAAGGAATATTAGGTGGTTCAATATGCTTTCTTTAATCTAAGATTGCATTAATTTGAGTAGAATTATTGAGGGATTGATATGTTGCATATGGCTTTGTTTACTCACTTAACCAAAACTCATTCCATGGAAATCAAGAGTGAAAAATTGTTTAGTGTTTCTGTGCTATAAAAACCATTTAAGTATGTATTAGTGCACAAATATTCCATGCAAGAAATTATTATTATTATTATTATTATTATTATTATTATCATTATTATTATTATTATTATCATTATCATTATTATTATTATTATTATTATCATCATTATTATTATCATTATTATTTCTATTTCATATGTACTTCTACATACTCATGCATGCAGAAGGCAGGTGCCAAAACGTGTGCATGATAGATCATTCTACTTCTTTATAGATTCTTTTTGAGTGTAATATGCATGGGCTTCGTGTACTTGATACATTTTACCCATATTGATGCTTAGATATGTGACTACTCATAAGCAAAATGATATTCTAAAATAATAAAAAATTTTGAGACAATGTTTCAATGTGTATCAACAATAATATTGCAATGGCCAAGGTGGTATCATAATATTAGCCAATAGGAGAAAGGAGGTTACACATACTAGCTAGTCCCTCCCATCTTCAATAAACTCATTTATAGCATGCTTTTGCTTGTTTGTTTGCTTTTTATTTGTTCTTATTTTTAAAAAAAAATATTGAATAATGGGAAGCTATATATATCATGCTATTTCATAACATTTTTGTTCACCCATTTGTAAGTTTAATTAATATTATCTATTACAAAGACAAAACAATTATATAATAATCTAATGTATTTATAGCTAAGATGCTCATACTTATCATCGAGGTGTTGCAATGAGAAGCAGAGCAGTATGGGTGCTCATGCATGCATGTTGCTCTTTTGAGGTCAGACATGAGGCATGTTTGGCCGCCCACACCCTCTAAATTGAAACTATATATGTATATATGTATATATATGTAGGTATGTATGTATGTATATAATTATCAGGAAAAAAACCTTCTTCAAAGTCAACTAAAATATAAATGTCTTATTATTTGGTTTTTGGCTTCATAGTTGTAGCAATGGCCTCAAATATTGTTTTAAGGTAAGGCAAATAATCAATGAGTTGTTTGACCAATTTGACCTTCTTGTTAATAAAAATGTTTTCTTTTTTTTTTTCTTTCTTCAATTGGTGTGATTGTTTTCATGCAACATCCTAAATTACCCTTAAAGTGGTATAATACTACAAATATGATTGTACGACGTATACATGCATGCATGCATGTGTGTTATCGGAAAAATCCACAAACGACAGTTACTATTGGTCAATTTTTCTTCTGTAGGAGAGGATCAATTAAATTTCTTTTATCATTACTATATGTTATTTGGCCGCCATTAAATACAATGCAAAATTGGGTGAAAAAGAAATCATAGCATATAGAATTTGATGAGAGATTGACTAGATGATAAGAATATGACTCTTAGCTGTCGATCAATAATTCAATTCATTTTAAGTTTGATATCATTAATTTCCATGTGATATCATATCAATTGTTGATATATATCTAAATGCATCTTCAAACTAATAGATACATGCCAGTCCTACAAGGATCGCAATATATCTTTCTTTGATGGAAAATTAAACTATATGTAGTTTTCTAGCTATGACTTTTTGTATGCACATTACGCATACTTTAATAGAACTACGGAAAATGAGAAATAAATTTGACCACATATGGGACTTTTGTAACGAAAATGAAAAATAATATTAAAAAAAACCTTATCGGGAAAAAGTAATAATAAAAACAAATATTGGTCGGCGTGAGTTTAACACGCGGAGAAATGTATTGGGAACAAAATTGAATTTTTATAGTTTTAGGGGTACTATCTAGGGTAGGAACGTAAAAAAAGTTCAAATTACATGGTACCAAAAGAGAAAAACAACTTTTCCTTTTCTTATATATATGGATGAGTTTTCAATGGCCATACTTTTATATGTGGTTATTTATCAAATATAAAAATTTAATAATGTGACGTATAAGAATTCAATTTCATTAATAACCATACATTTTTTTATTAACTTACTCGATTTATTTCAACTTTCAGATCAATAATATAGCCGTTAAAATAAGAGAAAAGTATAAAACTACCATTATAATAGTCACTTTTCTATTATTGACTCCCTTAATCATAATTGTCCTTTATTACAATAGATGAACTTACAACTTAAACAAAATGGACAATATTACTGAATAAAAAGGGCAATATTGATTTCATATTAAATTTTAAAGATCAATTTTAGAAAAATTTCTCAAAATAATAATATGCTAATAGATAAAAATTAGAGTAAGCATTATATATATACACATGATATTGAATCTTTAACACCAAGAGATTTGATGAACAAATAAACTAAACAATATTTATATGTTTTACCAGCCAAAAAAAGAAAAAGAAAAAACAAAGTCGCATATATATAGGTCATATCCATGACGAGAGCAAGAATTTGTAGTTTTGTATTTTTCCGCTGAACAGTTTTAAAGGAAAATCACATGGAATTGTTTCTTGTGAATGCTGGCAAATGACAAGTTATATATATACACATACGCACTCACACAAAATTGTAAATTATGAAGTATTGCGTGGTTACGTTTCCAGATAAGATTGCACATTTTCTTCATATGTTAGTTTGAATTGTTAAATTGAACATGCATTATGCATGTGTAAATACGAAGCCTGCCTATCCATATATGTCCATCAAAGATTGTATTCTTCTAATATTTTATTATTGCTATGTAAAATGACACTTTTGATTTGTTGGCTGGTGATTGGTGAGTTAGATTAGTCAGATAATCAATCAAAGTGACTAGTACTTAATATCCAAAATTGATATTAAGTAGTACAAAAAGTGTTTTTTAGAAAGAAAACTTCGAAAACATATTAGTTCTGTGCTAAGGATGGAAATTAAACTTTGCAAGATGCAACCTCGTGTTGTTCCTTTGTGGCTTAGCAGCCTTATCCGTCCAATTGTCAAAAATAAAACAATTGTTTAAAGAGCAATTGGACATAATCTTGTAGGGCTTGTAGGTCTTAGAAAACTAAAATTATTGTTTCGTCTCAACTTTCTACTCTTTGAAACTTAACAGACGTTTGGTTTATGGATTCAAAATCACGCTTTAGAATTATTTTCGATTTACGTGTATTTTTTATGAGAGAAAATACTGTAACAAATCACGAACCATAATTCAAATCATGGCATGAATACACCAACCAATCGAAGCATTATATTTTCAGTATCTCTAAGAAAATCTGAGACATAATTTATTTTAATTTTAAAAAAAAAATAGAAAATCTGGGCCATATGAGGCCAAATTGGGGAGGTAAAGCTTTAAAAAAATAGAAAATCTGGGCCATATGAGGCCAAATTGGGGAGGTAAAGCACATGAAACTGGGCCCCCAACAAGTTTGTTTCAGACATAAGGAATGCTCTGGCGACAGCAGTGATTGAGCACAAGAGAACCGCATTTGCCTGGACTTACAAACATGATGGGCCCAATCCGCAAGTGAGGGAGGGAGAGAGAGAGAGAGAGAGCCATTTATCATATCTCAAACTTCCCCAACTCATATAATGTCTCTTGGCAGTGTACAAAAGATGGTGGTCCTAAATCCCACCACTTTTGTTTGTTTGTTTGGTTTTCTAATGACAAATTAAATGAGATTTAATGAAATAGATCCTTAAAATTCGTAAATATTCAAGTTTAGTTTTACCAAGCACTAATAATGCAAGTAATTCACAAAATTTCTCTCACTGTGGTACAAATTAAGATCCCAAGGGAAGCCGTTCTAGACAATGTGCAATTGATAAACTCATTAATTAAAAACAACTGAATAACCTTAAAAACACGTTTTATTAATTTCTTAATAAGGCACAAGAGGCAAAAGAGAATATTTCTTTTAAAATACAAGTGTTACACTCCATGAAATAAACTCAAGTTTTTTTGACAACCAAATTCCATTAACTTAGGGAGGGAATTCTTAAAATGATGGCCTTTTAGAATCATCTAGCTATAACATCTCATTCATCTTAGCCGCTGAAAAGGTTTATAAAACTTTTCTTATAGATGCATGCATTTAGGTTTATGTCTTTACCTTTCAACTATATATTAGACAATGGTATTTTGTCTTTTCAGCCAAAGAGGCCTAATGGTTTGAGTTGTGAGTTTCATTTTAGCTTCTCTTATAGTGAATGTTAATTTGGTCATGGCATTTTCCCCTTGATTCTTCTCACCTATCATTATTAACTTATAAACATTGGCCCATTTTATATATGAGTTTAAAGGGAGAAAGAGGGAAATAGACCAAGATTTGAGATGAATTAAAATTAATAAGTCAATAGTTTACATAAATTAATAAATAGGTCAAATTACTGTTTTCGTCTATAACTTGTCTGGTTATGAACCATAACTTGACAAGTTATTGTCTATAATTCACGATTTTTGTCCATAACTTGTCTGGCTGTGAACCATAACTTGACAAGTTTGTCCATAACTTATCTAGTTATGAACCATAACTTGACAAGTTATGGCCTATTAATTTCTATAACTAAAAATTAGCCTACATATTTTCTTAAGCTTTTCATATTGGCATATTTTCTACTATTTCCCGAGTTTAAATCAGAGTTCAAACTAGTAGTTTTGATTATGACTTTTAAAATTTAAATTTTTTGTGAGAAAAAAAAATTATTGTAACAGAAGCAAAACTATGAATTTAAAACCATAAAAAACCCATATAACAAACATACCGTAGAAACTAGAATGATGATATTGAGAAAGCTGTTACTTCAAAGTGTATTTTTTTTTTTCTTTTTTTAACACGCGCTAAGTAATTAGAGAAAAGCAAAACTTTAGTAAAATGTGCACGGGTGTGGAAATTGAAAAAAGGCTGAGAAGGTTGTGGACTTAATAGTAATAGTTCCATGCTTTATAAAGAGATATTGTAAGCGCTTCACAGCCACATACACCCCAGAAATAGGATATAAAACTAATAGCGACTGAACAAGACTCAATGTTGTACAACAGAAATTTACAGTAATCTTTGACACCCTAATTCAAGAAAAAAATAACACTAGTTAGTTTACCATTTTTCCCTTTGCCTAATTGTTGGGATTTCTAGTACTTGTCAGTCTCATGCCACTTATTGATGGTTACTCTTCATAACTAACACACTGTAGCCATCATGGCCAAAATCAAAACAAACAATCCCTTTCCACTTGAGATGAAAGAGTAAAAAAAGAGGTCACATGTAAGTCTGTCATACTCTGCCAAGTCTGGTGTCTACCAAATGGCCAAAGAACAAAACTGAAGCAACAAGTTATAAGCTTTTAAAGAATTTCTACTTTTGCTTATACCAAAAAAGGAAGTAGAACTGTAGAAGCAAAAAAACAATATCTACAATTGAACAATACTAGGGACACCAGTGATGAGCTTGCATACCAAGGTGGGGTGCATAAATAAGTTTTATTCTCTTTTAATTGTGATGCTTAACATTAGTGGTGTCTGAAACATTCTTTTAAAAAATAAAATTCTTTAAATAACTATAAAAATACGTATATGTTACTTGCGAAGCGCTTTCGGAGCCTCAAAAAAGGCTACCAAAGGCAGGATCCTACCATTTCTTCTGCTCCAAAACTAAAATGGATCAAGTGATGGACAATATGCTTAAGAAAACATGTAAGGTCATTTGATTATGATATTCGTTTTTGCAGTTATAGATCAACAAGGAGAATATAGTTCTAAATTCTTTTTCTGCCTTATTTTCTTATGAGTTTTAACCTTAGTGAACGAGTCACAATTCCCTCTCATGCTTTCTGACTAAGTCCATTCGCCTACTCATGAGGCAGTTCACTCGTGACACAAAACAAGTTCAAGATATATGCCAAATTAAGCAATCAATCACCCTTTTTTTTTTTTTTTTTTTTTTTTTTGACTTCATTTCTTTTGTATGTTAAATCTACGTTTCTTTTATATGTTAAATCTACATGAGTACTGTCTATTACGTCTCAAGTTTCGACACAATTACTTTTCATGTGGATACATGATTTTACTTCGAACTTCTACCATAGCAGATTAGTTGCTTTGAGATTTAGAAATGAAAATTGTGAATTTCTGGAAGTAATTTTTGTGGATAAATTTTAAAATAACCAGTTGGCTTTGAAAACGCTTTAAGCTTCCGTGTCATTATTATCACTTACGCCCTTCAAAGTCAAACGAACTTTTTATCACTTTATTCATGATTAAGAAGAGGGGTAGCTATTGAGAGTTTTTTGTTTGTCTGTCTCCGAAACTTTACAGAAAGAAAAGTGATTTTTGTTGTTGAATTATATAGCCTGCTAATTATTTAGTTTGAACTTCTTAATTTTGACTGTTCCAAGCCGTAGAAATTCCAATGATCACTTGCAACACTGAACCAATACTAGAAAATGTCTCAATAAAATTTCTCTAAGCACCAAGAATCTAAGAAAATTTTTGAATTACAACTTGATAATGATTATTATCTATGCAACAGCTTAAAAGTATAAATAAACTCCTAACCCCACTTTGCCACTTTTCCCTTATCCTTTTTCCTTATCCACTATAGCCAGTATATACAAATTGCTAAGAGCCAATTATCCCCACAGCCAAAAGAATATATAAACCAGAACCTTGGACTTTCCTAGACTGAGAAATTCTTTTTGACAGAAAGAAAAATTGAAAAATAAACTAATAGAAGAGGGATGACCAAGAATGGTACTTCATATGTGTAACAAGCCAATGTGTAAAATTTGGACCATATAATTGAAGGGTGTAATTGAAAGAAGCTTTGACACCCTCAATCAAAAGTCTCCCATTTTGTTGTTACCACCACATTCTCAGAATGCTTCAATGGTCTCTGAAACACTGGCTTTTGTGCTGTGTAATTCCCTTGATTTAGCGGCTGCTGCATCGTCTTATGCACCGGCTTCAACTTGTTGTTAACCGAATTCTCTTGCCCCCGGTCACGAGTTCTGCCTTCTGCGGCGCTAGACTTGGCATTTTGTAGCTTTACCATATCAAGAGTTTCAATGTACTTCTGAACTCTTTTCACCTTCAAAGGTAGTCAGTTCCTCAAAGAGTTAGTAAATGAATTGGCTAATAATAAATTAAACTATTATAAAAATGATCACTTGTATGTGAATTGTGAATCTATGTATAAATGCATAACAGTTTTTATAAGATTAAAAGTACCTGCATTCTTCTCTGCATTTTTAGATCTCCCTCAGCAACAACCCCATCCAATTGAATCAATTTTGACATCAACATTTCAATCAACTTCTCCACTTCAACTTCTGCCACTTTCCCACCTCTACAAGCTGTTGCTTCCAAGGCTGTGACCTACCCAATTTCATTACCAAAACAATACATTATAATCTTTATTCCAATCCCAAAAAGATGAATTATTTCATTGATTAGTAGTGAAGCAAAAAAATATTATACCTGCCCTTGAAGCTTGTCCACTGCCAAGTTGATCTCCGCCAACGATTTCGAAGCCTTTTCGACCTTGGCATTCCTAAGCGTCTCCAAACACCTTTTTTCTTTGCTCACAACATCTTCAACCAAGACGATCTTCGATCCGTCTTTGACCCTCGCGACGTCGAGAAAGGCCTTGGAATCCCTCTCTTTGTCCTTGAATATCAGCTTCTGATCCTGTGGATGCAATCCAGTTGGTCCTGCCAACTTCTTCTTCAACTCACCTGCAAAAAGAAGCAAAATTCCCATAAACAAATAAACAAAAGGATGAAAGAAAACCGAAAACAGGAAAAAGAGTTTCAAAGAGGATTCATAATTTACCAAAGCTTGCTTGTGAACTGATGTAGATTTCATGATATGAAGAGCCATATTTGACTCTAACTCTAATGGTGGAAATTGGAGCAGAAGTTTGATTGACATCGGAATTTCGCTTTTGGACCAACATTCCACCGGGCCTAATCTCCCATTGTCCGACACTGGGACCTCCTTCACCACCTACTGAACTCTTGTTTGAGGAACAGAACATCCTGTTCATCTTTGTCTTCATTGGCTCCATTGTTGTTTATACATGTACATATATATATATATTGTATATTTATGTTTATAGATATATACTTGATCTTGTTATGAGGCCTAATGAAGAACTCAACTTGGGCAAGAAACAAACAAAAGTTTCCTCAGTTTCTTCTATATGTTCTTCCCTTGGAGATGAGGCAACCCCAGAAGACAATAAAGAACCAAAGAAACCAAAGTTTGGAAAGTTTGGAAAAACATGGGGTTTGAAGGGAAAAAAAAAAAAGAAAGAAAAAGAAAAGAAAAGAGAGACCTTGGACTGGTTTTGACTATTCTAATCACAAGAAAAGTTTTTTTTTTTTTTTTTTCTGGTGTTTATTATGTGATTTCAAAACAAACAGTATTCTGTGCTAAAACCAACACTCGTCGAGAGAGAGAGAGAGAGAGGAGAGAGGAAGTTGAGATCTGTTATGTTATTTGCAGAGAGGATATTGGAAAAGAAAATGAAAGGAAAAAGAAAAAAAAAGAAAGAAAAAAAGGAAGAAGGAAAGATGGAAAGGAAACGAATGGCCAGCGAAGAAAGTGAGTGAAGAGAATAAGCTATGGCTATAAATAGAGAAGATAATTCAGAAATTTAGTTACGTGAAGAGGAGACAAAGAAGCAATCACTGCCTTTTTTATCATATAGGAAAATTCAAGGTATTGTAATTATAATGGCAAAAACTAGAAATCACTTTTACATGCACAATTATATATATATTAGATTAGATGAGTCATATCATATATACACAAGAAAGTAGAGATCCTTTTGAGAATATATGATTTTTTATAGATGTATAAACATTTTTTTTTTACATGGTGATGAAGAATTCTCTTATGTTTATCTTCATAATTATTATGGAAAATGGGAAGTGGGAAAAGGAAAAGAAAACAAAAGAGAGAGGAAAAAAGTAGACTCGGCTATCGTTGTCTTCAAACTGGAAAGCTAGCAAATATTGAAGGAGGAACATGTTAGTGCCAGCTCTAACAAAGAAAAAATCTGAAGCCAGTTGGCAAATGTCTGGTTCCCAAATATGATTGGTGGCTCATAGGGGCATTTTGGTCATTTTGTCTATAAACATTATATGCCACTGTTTAAAGTAATTCCACGTTTCCTCCATAATTTGATAATACTAGTCATCTTTAGCTTCAGACCAAAATAATAATTAAAAATAATAAAAAAACATCTTTTTTTTAAAAAAAAAGAAAAAAAAAAAAAGGAAAGGCATGCAGGCACACGGGGACCAAATTAAGTAAGAATGCATTTTTGCCTAAAATTTTTTTTATAGTCAAACAACATGGCATAGATTTCAACGCCGTCCTATTATACCTCATTTGTCATCCATATTTTTGGTTTCTGAAAACATATACCATTTTTATATTGATTTTTTCCGGTATTAAGAAAGCATAATCAAAAAAATTCGCATCACATCATAGAAGGATATAATGTATCGTTTGGCATATTAATAAAAGATTTGGTTCTTTAAAGTAAGCAGTAATGTTTGGTTGAAAGTGTTAATTGGGGGTTTAGTTGATAGACTCTGCATTCAGTCTGTATTTATGTCAAAGTCCAATGGACCTCGTCAAATCTTGTTCATTGTTATTGATCGAGTACTCATTGGTTATGAAAAGACCACCTCTAACTATGCATATACAGTCTTAAATTTACTTTGATTTTGGCTTGGTACATGGCCTAGAAGATTTACATATTCATATGGATAATCTTGATAAATATTCTTTAAAAGTATGTGGATCAAGATTTTTATCTTTTATTTTTGATTTATAACCTTTTTAGTCAAATAATTACACAAACAAAAAAGTATTTATTAAGAGTAAAAATTTCATTCTCCTTTTTTTCTATTCAAAACAACATTACTTGAAATAGCCACCCAAGAAGATCAATTCAGATATGGGTAATATGGTTTGATCCCTATGTCATGGTTTGTTGACAAATTCCTTGGTTTGGCTCCCAAGGATAGGGATTCCGCTATCCCGATATTATTGTCGTTTTTTAAAGAACCAATAATATTATGCCACGTTAATTAAAAAAAAATCATTTTTATATCTTAAATGATGTGACATAATATTATAATTGACATGACATAACAATATTGGAGAAACATGAAAATGGACGAGAGATGCGATTCGACCTCTTCGAAGCCAATCATCCGTGTTACTAGGAATTTGGAAGCAAACATGGATTTATCCTATCAGATTAAAATAAATTAACATGTTCTAAAAATAATTCTAACTGGTTTGGCTCCCAAGGATAGGGATTCCGCTATCCCGATATTATTGTCATTTTTTAAAGAACCAATAATATTATGCCACGTTAATTAAAAAAAATCATTTTTATATCTTAAATGATGTGACATAATATTATAATTGACATGACATAACAATATTAGAGAAACATGAAAATGGACGAGAGATGCGATTCGACCTCTTCGAAGCCAATCATCCGTGTTACTAGGAATTTGGAAGCAAACATGGCTTTATCCTATCAGATTAAAATAAATTAACATGTTCTAAAAATAATTCTA